GGGTCTTATTTAAGAAGAAGGCTGGTAGGGAAGAATGCTCAGGTTTTAATAATGAGGCATTATTTTTGAAGGATACTATAAGCAGTGGCTAATAGAATAATAATTCAACAAATTTGAGTATAATTTAAGGCTAAAGTTCTCGCATTTGAATGATAAGACTGAATTTGTACATAATTTCAAACTTTATTTCTTTCATTTGTAATGCATAAAGCTTAATAAATCTTCAGAGCCAAAAAAAATCCAAATACTTTACTAAAATATCATTGCACCATTTTGTAATTTAGAGATCGGCTTGGAATCTTGTCAATAAGCATGTGTAAAGTGTAAGTAAAACGATTAGCTTTCATCTCATAAATAAATTCAAAAAAAATATAATAGAAAAAAAGTTTATCTCAATTATGAACACGTTTTCATGGCTGGCTTAAGTTAGTATTCTCACTTTGGTTCTGAGTCAGAACCACTTCAAGATGCTTTTTTGGTCGGCCTCGCTTTTGAGGCTGGCTCAAGTTAATATTATCATTTTGGTTCTGGGTCGAGACTACTAGATTTTTTTTTGGCCGGCCTCTATTTTTTTTCACAGCAGGTACATTTTCCTTTTCACTTCTAATCCTTCCCTTTTTAGATCATCCAACAGCCTTACTTTTTATAGGGTTGTTGATTATTGGAAGCTCAGAGGATGCTGAAGTATTCTCATGAGTTGAAGCAAGATCATCATTAGAGGCATATAGTGCCTCCAAATACTTTTCAAGATACAATGTAAAATCTGTACATTTGTCAGAGTCCATTGCAACCTTACTTGCAATTTTTCTTGATAGTCGATGGATATGCATAAGCCGGATTTGAGAGTCACCTTCACCAAATGATTCATGTGATGTTAAAGTTTCTGTATCTTGTGGTTGTGTATGGCTATAAAAATTGACATAGTCTTTAGCAAGCTCCAACTCGGGTGGGTCCTTTCGCCAGTGTTTTGGAAAGTGAACAGGATCGAGTTGAGTGAGAGACAGACGAACCACAACTGCAAGGGAATGGCAACAAACTATTCCAGCAAATTCGAGATTGCGGCAGCAACAAGCAAGTACCTTGCCATCATAGCAGACATGACGTATAACGTCAGGCCTTTCGTAACGTGATAGCTTAAAACAACGCACTCCATTGTCATCTGTTATTTTCTCATATGCATATGCATCTTTTCACTCTATTCTGCCTCAAATTTCTTCCAGGCATATCGGGTCAGACAACTAGCGGCCTGGTTTTCAATTGGATTTGGGAAATCTGAAGGGATGGGGTGAACAAGCTCTTTGTAAGCAGAAATATGTTCCACCTCTTCGCGAAAATAAAGTGCACGTTCAAAAGCTGCCAAAAATTCTGTGAGTCTTGTTTTACAGTCTACGAAGCCCTTTAAAAGACTGTTCATTGATTCTCCTCTTTGTGTCGACGACATATCAGCAAAAAAATATTTCTTCAAATATGCCGGGGCCCACTGTTCATGCCACCGACTAAGAACTTCCAGGTACAACTTTGCCTCAGCATAGTTATCGTTTTCCATTATACAATTCCACAGGTCCTCAAACTCATTTTGATCAATATAATGGTTTAAGCATTTCATAAGATCCGCGTGAAACATATTATATTTTTTTCCAAGTTTAGAAGTCATATTTGACCTTATATTCTTTAACATGTGCCAGATACAAAGGCCATGCTTAGTACCATGTTTATTGGTAAGGACAGAGTGAATAGCATCAGACATAGCCAGATCATTGTCTGTAAGAATAGTGTTAGGTGCGGTGCCAAAAATACGTATAAAGGATTCGAATAACCATTCAAAACTTAAAGACATTTCATCCCGAAGCAATGCGCCAGCAGCGCAGTAAGAGAGACCATTGTTTGTAACGCCTATAAACACTCCAAAGGGCATTGAGAAATAATTGCTCTTATATGTGTTATCGTAAACAATTGTGTCATGAAAGCGCATATATTGCCGCTTTTGTGATGCATATACCCAAAGTACATGCTTAAGTCGATTATTATTGTCCAATTCGAATTCATAAGAAAATTCGGGGTCATTGTTATGCTTTTGTTGAAGAAGAAGGAAATCATGGGCTTCAAATTTACTGCATAACATGCATTCAGTATCAATCAAATTATACATGTCTTTCATTATCCATGTCTTCGCGGCTGGTCCGTATTTTACTGTAAGAAGTGATTGGATTTGCGGTACTGCAATTCCTGCTTTTCTCAAGGTAAAAATTTCTTCCTTAATAAAGGTAGGTATTTCGCGATTTGTAGATGATATATGCATAAGTTGGGGAGGAATAAGGTTGTGATTATGGTGGAGATCGACTTGCGAGATATGATATTTATCGTCTTCCAGGTTATAATTGAGACGAATTGACCAAGGGCAGTTGCATTTTTTTGATTCTTTGTTTCTGCTTT